GTGTTGTGTGCTGAAAGATATTTGATGATTATTTTACCCACAATTTACAGTATGTAATATCTTATAAACAACCATTAAATATTCGTGACTTTAGTTCTCCCAACAGGAAGAGAACCACACACACTGTGGTAACTACAGTGTGATAATTATATGTAATTTACAGTGTTGGTTTATCCTCTGGGTATGACTTAAAAAAGCAAAAAGGGAAACATTTTGATTAGTTATGCATAAAACTGTTCAGTGGAATATTAAAGATTCCTTAAAAATTATAAATATTGTTGCACCTCTTTCACCGCTTACCAGCGGCCAGGTCATAATATAGAAGCAGTAGATATATCATAAATGTCATTGAATTACCACAAGCTGTCCCACCAGTCTCTGGTTATTTCCCGACAATTGGTATCAGGCTGGTAGATTTCCACCGGGGCACAGAAACACACTTGTGAGCTGTAGTCCTCTTTAATAATCACTAAATTCTTCAGAAAACTGTTCACAGGGTATGTCCTTACCACTTGACTTCTCACTTCGAATATATACAGTTGCCACACTACCAGTGTACAACTACTTTGCCTTATCACTTTATATTGCTCACAACAATTCCACAATACTTGACCAACAATTATCTTTCACTATCACTAGGCTTATACTTCAGACTCTGGGTAGAAACAGGCGACTACTTCCCTAGGCACCTCGCATGTGTTTATATACCTCTCGTCAGACATGTAGAGCATTCTAGCGACATCCAGGGTGCAGGTCGTATAGAGACACGCCTGGAGATTTCTAGAATGATCTAGGAAAACACAATATATAAGTAAATCATAACAAAAATAATGCAATGCAGTCTAGAAAATTCTTACATGAGTAATACATCAATATATAGAAGAAAATCTCCCAAAACTTGCCTAAAAATTTGGTCTTAAAAACTCGAACTATACACGAGTATATACGGTATATTCTGGCCGGGTAATTTCTATGAATTTTATGAGCTAAAACAAATATCTTCAGTAAATAAACAAATTATACTTCACCCAGGCACTATCTGTCAATCAAATACCCCCACCTCCCCTCCCCCTCCCCCACTCTTCCCCGCTCAAGCTGGGTCCCTCCCTCCTACCAGAGAAATGTTTGGGTGAAAACAGCAGGCTTACATGTTTAGTAATAAATAATACCTCAGACTAAAGTTGGGATAATATAATTGACATTGCTGGATTCCTTACAAGATAAGAATATTTTGAATATAAACGTCATATATTTTGCACAAAAGATAAAATTTTTGCTCTTTCTAATAAAATTTTTAAATTAGATCTAAAATTTGCATGTCTAATGCAAATTTTAGGATGTGTATATTTAAATTAATCACCATCTTATAAGAATTCCAGCAATGTAAATTATATTCTGGCTGGGTAATTTCTATGAATTTTATGAGCTAAAAACAAATCTCTTCAGTAAATAAACAAATTATACTTCACCCGTGTAAATGATGAAATTTACCGCGTAATTAAAACATTTCATTCTGGCAAGGTGCTGCGTAAATGACCAAACAACGTCAACAAAATCACGTGAGTGCAGACTATACTGTACTGTATTTTGTTATATTTAATTTTTTAATTCTGTTACCGGGTACAGTACTTTGTGTGTACTTTTTCTGTGTGTTGGAACCAATTACCCAATATCCCATTGAAATATTAGATTCAGTTAACGAAATTTTCGGTTATTGAACGACTCTGTGGAACCAATCGTGTTCGTTAACCGAGGGACCACTGTACAGGTGTTTTCCATTATACGATGGTGTTAGGGACATCGAAATATGCTTGTAAGGTGATGGATTGTATGTCAATATTAATAACTTAGGGGAGAATATAGGTTCTGTCCTTGAGTCCCTGAAGAGCCAGAGTTATCACTCAGTGGTTATTTTTTCAACACATAATTTTTGGTAGACATACATAATTTTCTTTTTTTAACTGTTACATTCACACTCAATTTTTCATACAGAATGTTCACAAAATAATATTTGTAAGGTAAAAAATATGAAGTAATAAAAATTGATTCATGCGAGCTTTGACCTGTGTTGTGTTTTTTTCCACTCGTAATTTCTGGTATACAGTATTACCCATACTTTCCATAGGCTTTTCCGCCGCGTGCCTTGCCAAGCTGAACTTTCAACTTGTGATTTTTCCACAGCAACGCGGTGAGTGTCGGCTCGAGCTATTTTTAGATTCGCACCACCCCCCACCCGCCACCCTGCCTGACTGCCTGTTTTAGCTCATAAAATTCATACAAATTACCCAGCCAGAATATAGTTTACATTGCTGGAATTCTTATAATTTGGTGATCATTTTGAATATAAACAACATATTTTTTGCATTAAACATACAATTTTTAGATAAAATGTTTAATCTGAGTAAGTATGTTATCTTTTGTCCAAAATATATGACATTTATATTCAAAATATTCCTGGTCTTACAAGGAATCCAGCAATGTCAATTATATTATCCTAACTTTAGTTTGAGGTATTATTTATTAAAATTTAGTGGTTATCCCACACATCTCCTTGGGACGGTTGGTGGGGGGTGGGGGGGAGGGAGGGACCAACCGACAGACCATCTGTTACCCGGTGAAGAATTATTTTCTTTTTAACTGAAGATATTTGTTTTAGCTCATAAAATTCATACAAATTACCCGGTCAGAATATAATTTACATTGCTGGAATTCTTATAATTTGGTGATCATTTTGAATATAAACAACATATTTTTTGCATTAAACATACAATTTTTAGATAAAATGTTTAATCTGAGTAAGTATGTTATCTTTTGTCCAAAATATATGACATTTATATTCAAAATATTCCTGGTCTTACAAGGAATCCAGCAATGTCAATTATATTTTCCTAACTTTAGTTTGAGGTTATCCCACACATCTCCTTGGGACGGTTGGTGGGGGGTGGGGGGGGGAGGGAGGGACCGACCGACCATCTGTTAGCCGGCTGTGTAGTGTGAGAGGGGGAGGGAGTTGAGTCCATTATTTGAATGGATATTAACTTGGCGACTGTATTTCTCTATTTCTCTTAAGTATTAATTGTGTGCATGTACCATCATAAAATTAAGATGTTATTTTTACTACAACATAGTTATTTGTCGTCAAAAAGTGGAGTTTGGGGGTCGGGCTGGGTTCTATTGGAATTAATCCCATATGTTCTGTTATTCACTTAACGCGGTTTTCACTTAACGCGGGACCCTCTGGGTTCAATTGACCGCGTTAAGTGGGGTACTACTGTACTGTATATGCATTTATTTATTTATTTATTTATTTTTTTTTTTTACTTGGTTACATACACACACAATCTTTCATATAGAATGTGCAGAAAAAACAAATTAATAATGGTCATCATAAGGTCAGAAACATAAAGGGAATAAACATTTCTTAGGTGTGTGGGGAATCTCAGCTCGGTGTCTCATGTCCCATGTGTAGTAACAAGATTGCCTAATGTCAACACAGTATTTTTTCTTGTATTTCGTTGATCGTTATTTTTATTTGTTTCTAACATTTACCGGTACATTATATATTATTTTATGTACAAAGAACAACTTCTTCCACACACAAACCATCCTCTGGAGCAGTGACACAGTATAACTGCTCAGCTTGGCAGTCACAGTGGATGGACAGAGCCACCCACTCATCCCTCGTTGGTCACTCAAATTATGCCATTCTGAGATTGCTTCATCATATCTTGAAATGTTGCGAGTTATTGCAGATCAATTTTTCATAGCAGTGACAATGCAGGAAAAGTATTTGGGTAGTAACCATCGTAAAACTGATCATAGCCATCACATAGCGGTAAATGGTGTTAATTTTTTCATCGTAAATCTGATCGATCATATATACAGTAGATCCATCATATAACAGTCAATGCCTCTACTGTATATGCAATTATTTCTTTAGAAATCACCCCAAATTGTGGTTAATGAATACAAAAAAGACTTCCTATTGCTTCACCAAGAAGACCTTTTATTAAGAAATAGTGAAAGATTGTCATTTTAAAGTTGATATTATACATTGTGAAACAAAATGAGCGTGGTGAAAGAACAATGGTTGATGATCGGCTGTGATAAAATGAATGTGGTGCTGATGCAAATTGATCCTGGTGGTGGGTGTCCGGTTCATGAGTGGCGGAACGCTATATACATGTACACTTACTATTTGTATTAATATGTATTTTTTTAAAGTGTTTTTGTACAAAATACTTTCTTTTGGGAGGCATGATTACAAGAATAACATGAAGTAATTGTAGGACATGGAATTATGAGCATTATGATTATATTGCCCAACTATTACAGAGCACGGCCTGGGATATGTAAATTCTACATATAATTTTATTTATAATACATTATTAAGTATTATTGTCACATTACTTGTTTCTTTATCAGATGTATTCACAATAATGTTAGTCAAATTTGTGTGATGTGCAAAGAAATCCATAACATTATGAGGCATTAGGCTAAGTGTAGCTTTGTCTAATGTTCCATGTATTATTAGCCTTCTATTTAACAGGAAGGAATTTCTATCGCTGGCACAGCCTTGGTTCCAAGGTTGCCAGATAAGAGAGGGTGAACATAATTATATTGTTTAGTATAAGGATTATTAAAAAAAAAATGCAGTCTCAGGGATAAGGTTCACGGAAGATAAGTACATGCAGTAATCAGGAAATTTAATGCTTTATTGGGCTCAAAGTTTTCCCCCTTCATAAAACTCTAAACTTTTCTAATCAATACTGTTTATTCCAACACAGAACCAGAGGAGGATGTTTGCTCTCTTCCCAGTTCTACTGGTGACTGCAACAACTTTGAAGAGCGTTGGTTCTTTGATTTATCTGAAAACCAATGCAAGTCCTTTGTGTATGGTGGGTGTGGAGGCAATAACAACAACTTTGCCTCTTATGAATTCTGTGAAAAGCGTTGTGGAAGTAAAAAGGAGATTGCACTTGAAAAGGAATTTAATACTGGTTAGTACTGTACAGTATATGATTTCCCTAATTTAATCAGCTTTTAACCTCTGTACAATATATGCAAAAAGAGGAATATACTTCTGCTGCATGAAAGTAAAGTTCTATAATGTTAGTTTTAAATTTGTAAAGCTTTAGTTTTAAGTTAGATAAATCAATTCTGCAAACATTCCAGCTTTATACCTACCAACTTCTTGGGATGAAGAAATGGGTAAAATATTTCAAATATTGTACTGTACTGTACAGTATGTACATAATCAGTGCTGGTGGGGATGCTGAAGCCTGCTTAGTTGCAGGAGTTAGAAGTGGCTGGAAGAATTTTAGGGAGTTGCTGCCTCTATGAGGACATTCCCTCCACATGAAAGGAAGAATTTATGTGGCTGGCATGAGAAGTGTGATGTTGTATGGCAGTGAAACATGGGCATTAAAAAGAATGACATAAGCAGGCTTGAGTGAGCTGTAATGAAAATGGTGAGGTCCTGTTCAGAAATAAGAGAGTAGTTGGGTATGCATCGAGTGTATTGTACAGGTATCCGTCGTTTAGCAATCGTGATGTATTCCTGAAAAACAGATCGTTCAGTGAATTGATCGCTGAATGAACAGAAACGAAAAATAATATCTTAAGCAAGGGATAGTGAGGAGTAATATCCATGGAGATGGCATTTAATTGTGTAGTTGAGTTACCGACTGACTGACTCGCCACCCAGTAGCACTCAGAGTGGGTGAGGCTGAGCTGTGAGCTGTTATTGTTCATCTTGTAATTTGGGATAGATATACAAATTTTTCTTAAGTTTCCTTTACTCTGTTACCTATGCACACATTACCTATGCACACAATCGTTCATACAGAATATGGAAAAAACTATTATAAGGTCAGAAACATGGAATAAAGCAATTCTTAAGTGGTCAGCAGTTAGCCGACACAACTGAGGAGGGGGAGCGAAGAGCAGCATGGGGTTCTCCCAGCTGTTTGCTGTCTCGTGTCCCGTGTGGAGTGAAAAGAGGGAAAAGCCATAGAATTTGCTATAATAATAAACTGCAGTACACTGTAGTAAAGTAACACTCACCAGGTCTATGTTAGAAGCAAAGTCATCGTGTTTCCTCTCCGAGTCCAAGTACTATTGCAATGAAGTTTGCACTTTATCCACTTTCGTCATGCCCTATATTGTCAAGCTTCACCTTCACTTGCGGGTGAACTTGGCCTGAAGAAGGTGAAACAGCAGTATCCTTGCTTGACATGATAAATGGTTCAGAGATGGTGTTGATATTTGAGGGGCTCCCCCATCCAAAGGGTCCAATGTGGCAGAAAACGCAGTCAAACTTTGGCGAAGTTCAACCAACCATAACTCTGTTATTTTGGGAGTTATAGTGTTAATTTATTTTATTTTACTTTTTTCAAAATGAAGTTTGAAATCTGTATATGATGAATCCACTGAGAAAATCTTCTTGTAACATAGTATAAAATAATAGGTTATGGCGTTTTGAACCCCAACCGATCTTTGAGTGCATTTTCTGGCGCTAAATTATTTCCCATTATAAAGGTGAATTATGTAAATGCGAAATAAGCAGTAAGAATACTACATGGCACCTATTTGTTGAGAATGGTAACAAAATAATAATAATATTATTAATCTTGCTCCTAAGGGCCCTACACGCCAAAACGATATTGCATCACGATTGTTTAAAATATACCGTAACAGGTAATAATGTTAATAATAATATTTTATTAATCTTCATAATATGCCTCTATCTAACACCATAACTCAGCATCCCAAGCCAGTAGCAACGAAAGGTAAAATTAGAAGTTTCTCTTTCTATGCAAATTGACCCCTTATTTGTATGGAGTATGTTTTTTATAGTAAACACGGATAAATTTTAACAAATAATGTTTTTTTCTACTTGTAATTTAAGTCTGAGTATGTAAATAACTTATATCACTCAGAGTAAAAATTACAATACTCTGATGTGACTTAGAACTAAAGAAAATATAATATAAAATGATGAAATAAGAAACACACACACACACACGCCTCTGAGTCAGCTGGTGACTACCCAGCTGATCCGTGTTCCATTATTCGCTCTTTTTCTGTTCAGTTTTTGCTCTGCCTTGGCTGCCTTTTTTTTTTTTTTGCAGAGATTAGTCCACCCGGGCACAGGACACTGACCCACATTGGGGCCTGGGGGGCAAAAATATAATAATAATAATTATAATTTATAAAAATTTTAATAAAAAATAAAATAATAATGATAAGAACCATAAATAAATAAAAAAATAAGAGAAATATATCAAGCGTGAAAAATGATATATGTATGTCGTGTTGTCAAAGTAAGAGAAACAATTGAGACCCTGCAATTGTGTGTAAATGAGGCAGAAAGTCAGATCAGCAACCTGGAACTTAGTCACAGTTTTCGTGATGCCATATGGCAGCAGGGTCTACCATTAGACAACACATTATGCTTACAATATCTTCCCAGGCAGTAGTACCTCCCTGTTTGATAGCTGCCTCTTACCTACTACCTACAGTGAGTTCTGCTATAACGCGTGTTTTGACAACGCGAATTGGCTCTAACGCGATTTATGAATAGAGGAACGATATTTGTATAACGCGAACGCTTGTTTGCTGTAACGCGATTTTTGCTTACTATTTCTCCAATTTTGTGGTATTAACTGTGAATATGGTAAAGAAGAATATCTCCAAGAAGCGTTCTGGTGATCGCATTCCCGGTGATGATCGTAAAAGAAAGGCTATAACCCTTGAAGAGAAGCTCGATGTTATCTACCTCAAAATCACCCTTCTCCCCCATCAAGTTATATTCATATTTTTTCAAGGTAAAGTGTTACATTTACTGTATGATTTCAGTATTAGATATGAATGTAACATTTATTTAGACTGTGTTATCCTTTGTGTTAGGCTAACTACTAAATTTTTTTCGATTTCGAGTAGTAATCTGCACCTAACCCTATTTTCTCCATAAGCCCTGTTATTTCTATTACACGAATTTCTATAACACGATGTTTTACAAGAACACAACTATCGCGTTATAGCAGAACTGACTGTACTATAAAATAAAGTATTTTAATTACAGTTCTGTGCAAACAAAAATATTTTCTAAGTGTACATTGAGTAATAGTAAAGTTAATAATTGTAACAATAAATGTAACATTGTGAGGTGAACTGATGATACAATGGGTGAGGTGACAAGGCAGGAAACACATTAACAGCACTACTAAACCATTGTCTTTTAACATTTTAATTTATAATTTATATTTTAAAATTAATTGTTACATGATGGCTCGATTGGCTACATTTGCACTTAGACAACTGATCATTGAATAAACAAGGGCATTATACACGACAATAATATTTATTAAATTCTGATAACTACCTGTGCACTATAATATTATTTACTTAGTAGGCATAACGGACCTGAGGCTTGAAGATACAGGTAGTAGTTATGCAGATTCTGACCAGGATAAGGCGCAGTCATTGAATAAATTATTTTCCTCTGTGTTCACGAGAGAGGATGCGAACAATCTTCCTGCATTTGAGGAAAGATGGTTTGACAGTGCTGACCTACATTGTGCTCTCGGAGGAGATTATAAGAAATAAACTGTTCAAAGCTGATGATTCACAAGAGTCCCGGCCCAGATATGGTGCATCCCAGAGTGTTAAGAGAACTGTGTAACGAGCTTGTGGAGCCCCTTCAGATCCTGTTCTGCAAACGCCTAGATGAGCAAAAGGTCCTTGATGACTGGAAAATGACTTATATTCAAGAAGGGCGATTGTCACTCCACGAATAATTATAGACCAGTAAACCTGACCAGCATAGTGTGTAAAGTACTCGAGAGCATTATAAGAGATTCCATGTTGGAACATCTACTATGAAACAACCTTGTAAAGGATTGCCAACACAGTTTTATGCCGGGGCGCTCCTACTTAACACAATTATTTAAGGTCCTGGATGTTTGGACTCAAATTCTTGAACAAGGCACAAATATCGACAGTATATACCTAGATTATGCCAAACCTTTCAACAGCATACCCTATGAAAGGCTGAGAATTAAATTACAAGGGTACGGGATTCGGTGAAATGTCGTAGCTGGGATTGGAGACTTTTTGCATGACCGCAAACAGTGCGTAGTGATTAATGGCACGAAATCGTCAGGGCAGTGTATTGAGCCTGTTGTTGTTTGATATGACAGAAGCTATGCACTCCTCCATACAATTGTTTGCGGATAATGTCAGGTTATTTAAGGAAATTAAGAACCAAACAGATTGCGCTTCAAGAATGGTCGAAGAAATGGCTACTAAGATTCAAAGTAATGAAGTGCAAGAGGATGCACCTGGGTCACACCAACAGTAAGGAGGCATATTATATGTCCCAACAGGATGAAGAAACTGCATTAATTGAGACCTAATGTAAAATTGGACCTGGGTGTGTATGTTGACAAGGAACTTAAGTTCTATGGCCATTGTGAGAAGAAGGTGAATCAGGCAACAAAACTAGTAGGTATTAAAAGAAGGTTGTTTAGGTACAGTATCTGGACGGTCCGTCACTCGTCACTTTCTTCAAGATTGAGGTGCTTCCCTGTCTGGAATGCTGTCACCCCTCTGGTACCCGAGGTATGCTAAAGACTGTTAATCTATTGATTGAAAATGTCCAAAGGAAGGCCACCAGACTGGTGCCTGCTCTATGGAACCTCAGCTACCCAGAGAGATTAGAATGCCGGCACCTGCCTAGTTTATATTACAGACGGAGAAGGGGCGACCTAATCTAAGTAAATAAACATCTCAGAGGGCACTACTCAAATGTTCAGTCAGCCAAAGATGCACCGTCCCCACCCTGGGTGTCGTGCTCGCAAATTTACCTGACAGTACTTGGTAAACGAAGGCTGAAAGTAAAGGTGATTGTGATTGGTGGATCTGTTTTTGGCTGTATCACTGTCAGGTTAATTATTAAACAAACCAAAGGTAGAATTTTTATAATAATAAACTATTC